CTTTTTGTCTATAGAGGTCTTTCAACTGACTTCCTGTCAGCAGACCACTTCTAATCACTTCCAATTTCTTACTGAATAGTTTGAACATATTTTTGCTCAAATAAACTCTTTAAAATTTTAATATGCATCAGGTTATCTCTTAACACATGTGAACAACAAAATCTCTTTTGACTTTCAGTAACAAAATAAAAGATAAGTGATCAAATAGTTTGAATACTTAAACACTATCTAAAAATGAGACTTTGTTATCTTAATATTAGTCCTGTCAATAGAACTGTGAATTCCAGTATTCATCCACCCAAACACAAAATTTTCTATCAGCATAGCTGTCATACCTATGATAACAACATAATAAAGAAACAGCATTTGCTTACTGACTCTTAGCAATGTGGATCCTGCATTTTCTTCTTGTATGCTGATTATCTTGCTGATTTTTACTTTATTTCTAAGCATAATTGTGTATTTTTTCTTTGGTTTATCATATTCATTATCCATGTTTTCCAGATAGAATCCAATAGGACAATTAATGACTGTGAATACTTCTCACTTTTCTGTTCATTTATCCATTCTAGTTATACTTAAAGGTGGCATTATGTTTTCTTTATTTGAAACTTCAAAGGAGAGAGACTAATGGAGCAATTAGACAAAAGGATACAAGCAGGTAGAAATGAAAGATTGCCTGTCACTAATTTATGACTATGTGAACTTCTATGTGTTCATTTTCAAGGGGGATTTGCACTAAATGTCTTTTATCTTGAACAAAGCAGACATTAAGTGTATGAGAGGAAAACAAGAGACAAAATGTGGTAATTGAACTGGCCAAGCTATGTTATCATCATTCCAAAGCCAGCTAATAGGATCCTAATTTTAAAAGACCTAGCTATAGGAAGTAAAACAAACAAACAAACAAACAAAAAACTCCCAAAGTTCACAACTTAAAAGATGTGAAAACTTTCATTGAGTTATGTAATCCCATTAAAACTTTAAATTAGAGAGAGTTTAACAGTTGGAGGTAGGCATAAACATTCTTAGAATATTCAAGCAGAGACTATGGGAACATTCAAAGACTTATTATCCCTTTCTTAGTTCCTAGAAGAGCTTACAAAGCTTGAGAAATGAGGGACTCCAGTATTCTTTGTGCTTATTTTTCAGCATCAGTTCAACGGGTTCTAAATAGCGAAGTTGGACACACTAGTGAGTATTAAGTTCAGTCCAAGTGATGAAGCCATGTGTGAAACATTTAAGAGTTTTGTGGGTTTTGGCATCCCAACTAGAGTATATCACTGGTTTCATTCCTCAGTTTTCTTCATACTGTAGGTAAAATTATCCATGCCTAATCTCATAGTCTTCAATTAGAAACTAAGGGCAAAAGGAATACAATCTAGCAAATCTATCCACATTTTTGAGAGAATTTATATTGATCAATCTGCCAACATGTAATTAGGTGTGCAAGATGTGCTTAATATTTTTAATTGTAATTGCCAGTGGATTTTTGTAATAAAAAGATAGGAATGACTATGTTTATAGACTTAATTTTGAAAACTGTTATCTGGAATACATTTCAGTTATATATATATACACAATGCATTTATTACAATGTATTTAGATTTGCTTACCACATTTTCTTCTGCTCCAATACCATGTTTCAAAATATGATTCCCCTCCCTACATCTTTGGTATTACTAGTTTGTTTTAGCTTTATTATTCCCATCTGAAAAGGTACCATATTTAGCAATATATATGTGATTTTATAATTAAGAAATGTTGGAAATCACTGTGTAATTAGTAAATTTTTAAATCATAAATGCTGTTTTGGTATATACTGGCTTTAAAATAAGTTTTTAGGATGCCATGTTAAGAATAAATTTTTGGAAAACTTTGAAAAATCATTAATAAGCTGATTTTTTGTATATGTAAGTGTGATCAGAGTACTTCTGTTTATATGTATTTGCTATCAGGTTTAGGTACATCATTACTGTAAAAATTACACCTTCTTTTAAAGGGATAATATGACGACATTTCCACATTCAGCTCACAGTGTTAATGGAAGAGAGGATTTCATAGTTTGGAAAGGTTAAAGCCTATAGGAACTTTTCTTATAACCCCAGGACCTATGTAGAGTCTTTGCCAGGATATAACTATAATGACATTTTCCCATCTGGAGGAGCACACAGGGTAACTGTGGAAATGAGTAGATGGCAGAGCTCACACTAGCAGTCTTCTTCTTTTTTTTTTTTTTTTTTTTGGTGGGACCCTTGCTGGTGGCCGGGTATCACACTGGCGCTGCAGAGGCTGTGGGCAGCCTCACAACCCAGTGCTCAACTGCTGCGCCACGAGGGGAGGCCCTTTTTCCCTTTGAACCATTCAGCATGCACTTAGTATCCTTTCTTCTAAGTCTGCCAAACTTTACAAGGATTTAGTAAGAAATCGATATTTCACTAAAAATATAAAAAATGAAAACCACATTGCATAATGCATACCAGAAACAATAAGTTTCGTCACGTATTTATATTCTCTCTAAGATTTCTCAATTCTCTTGACCATCTCATTTCTCCACTTTTTTTCCTCTAGTATACTGATGCCTGTATTACCCTAAGCAATTTTGTGTGGCTACTTCACTCAGTAAAACAAAATCCACCATAATTAATAGAATTGTGAATACTTGTTTCTGCTCAAGGAATATCATATGAAGACTCTCACCCCTTCCCAAGTGACTTACCTAAATAGTAACCGAAGAAATCAATCTCAGTTTATTAACTAATCATGAGGAAATAGCTGCTCAGATGAATAAGCATTTATCAATAGATCTGCCTGGTAAGAAAGATTACATAAAACAATGAAATCTTCATGATTTAGATCTTAGAGGTTAGATAGGGTTCTATGCTTATTTAGCTTTCATTCATGTAATAATCTTAATAATTGGGAATAGTTATTGAGTTATGTACATTAATAGTTTATAGTTAATGTACATATGGTAGTGATCATGATGAAGTATCTAATTGTTTTGAGACAATTGTTATTGGCATTGTAACCAGTAACCCAGACATTGAGGAACTTGTCCCACTTCATATGGCTAATGCAATGTTGAACTTAGAACTGAGGTTTTAGTCCATGGATGCTGACCCAGCATCTGAGCTATGGTACTGTTTTGTTAAATAAAACAGTTGGTTAGCTTACTAAAAATGAGTTTAATATACTTTGAATCTTCTATATATTAAAAAAGATTGTGAATAAACCCAATTTGATTTTGTTGTCAGCTGTTATACTAAAAAAGTGAAAAATAAGTACAGCATTATGATCTACATTGAAAATATTTTTTTTCCTATGGTGAGAAAATGCCATGAAAAAATGTTTGTCACCTCTATGGTTCATCTTCAAGGTTGTGCATTTCTCACCCTTAAGGATTCACTAAAATGGCTTGTACAACCACATCAACATCAAGTCACATCTGCCTTCCATCACAAGATCCTGTTATTCTCAAGAACCCAGTAGTAAAGGTTGAATGCATTTAGGAGACTGAACAGGTGCTCAAGGTACCACTAGTTATTTAGCACAACTGGATTCAGTCTTATTCAAGCCTATAAACTAAAAGGTCATCCAACTGAAAATGCCTTCCATCTGTTTTTATTATTCTCCTGTCCAGCATTGTGCTTTGATGTTTATACATAAAATGAGTCCATGATCAAAATAAAAGACCAATTCCTTGGCAGCTTGAGGTAAAATGCTTTTGCTGTGAAGTGTTCAACATGGTGACATTGATGGTTATTTCAAAATTTAAATAATAAAGGCACTCTGGGTTGTTTCTATATGACACAAATATGAAAGTAGAAGTTAAACTAGAAATTATCTTCATGGTCTTTTGTAGCATATAGTGTTTTCTATCATAATTTAAGTAGGAATACTAAATTGTTAAATCCAAAAAAGTCAGAACTATGGTGATAGATATGTCTAGAGTTCCATAAAGTATGTTTTTTATTTTTTCTTTCATTCCTTCACAATCATGTCATTTATTGTACACCTATTATGTAATGGTCCCATAATGTACAATAGATTTGATTTCTTTCATTAGAGGCAGCAAATACTAATCTAGCAAATATATGACTACTATAAGTACTACAATTGTGGCATCTATTTTGAAGGGCAGTATATGGCACTAAATGCCTATATAATTGAATACTTGTACCAGTTAATCCAGGTTAGTGCAATTATGCCAGTAAACTGAAATACAGGTTATGAATGCCTGTGAAGGCTATACCTGAGAAATCTAATTTGGCAAAGTTCCCATTGATGCCAAGAAATAAATAAGACTATCTGTAACCTCACGGAGTTCATGGTTTGTGGTGGAGACAGATAAATATATAGACATTGCTAATGTAACCTGTTAAATGTCATGGTAGGAAAGCTGAGGGGCTTTGGAGGTATAAAGGATGTGTCCTCACTCTGTGGGGCCTGGGTTTGTATCTAAATTCCAGAGATACTTGGGGTTTCCCCAAGTATGTTAATGTTATCTTAACTCTGGGACAAGTTATCAGAAACCATAACAAAATTATAGCATCGATTTAAAACCTCAATATATCAAAAATTATACTAAAACTTAGAAGAGTAAAAACCTTGAGAACATTTGTAACATATATATTAACACTTACAACACTTAATGTTGAGAACTAAAAAAAATTTATTAGCTCTTGCAGAGTAAATAAAACCTTTATGTCAAAGAAGGAAAAACTGAAAATAGGGGTTGGAATATTATTTAAAGAATAAGTAAACTATTAAAATATAGGGTTTGTTTTTCTAATTTGCTTTAAGTTTAAGTAAACTTTTGCCTTCATAGTAGGCAAACTGAGATGCTTCAAGTTCTCAAAGTAGAATTTTGAATGTGTCAAGCACAAACATTTCATAACATTTCATATTATTGAATATCTGTTTTCAAACTGCTTATGACTATAAAACAACTTTTTTTTGTTTTTTCTTTCTTTCTTTCTTTCCTTCTTTATTTGCAGAGAAGAACTGGGATGCAGGCCAGAAGTGCAGTGGTTGAGAGGATTCACCACCCAGTGGAGCAGAACAGGTGGGTTTACTGAAATACACACCTAACTGAGGCAGTGGGCGAGACAGAAGAGGTCTGCTATGCCATGTGGGTTAGCAACCTGGCTGGGAATCAAACTTAAGCCATAGCCATGATAATGCTAAGACTTAAACTCTAGGCCACCAGGGAGCCCTAACACAAGTTTAATAATGGTCATAATTTTGTACTCTATAAAGTTATTCTCTACAATATTTGTTACAGATATTATAAGTCATACATTAACAGAAGTACATTTAATTTCATTTGTAGGACTAGAATTTCATTAAAAGTGAACATTTGTTAGTCTTATCAGGGGGCATTTTATTGTCTGCATTTGAAGATAAGGCACTGAATTTATTACAATTCAATGAAGGCAAAAGTATGTTTTCAAAAGTATGATTTGAAGCTGTGTAATGCTATAGAAGTAGTTTACCAGCTTAAAAAGTAAAATTAGTTGTTTATCATGTGACACTATACACATTCTTTTTTAGAATATTCTTTTGATATTGCACATCTAGGTTTTGTTTTTATTTATTAAATATCTAAGTTTTAAAAGATACTTCAGAATTTAAAGAAAGTTATGCCAGACTTATTCCTCAAATTATCAAGTGTTTAATGAATGCAACCTGTACCAAAATCCTTTTATAATTCCTATATTATATTCTGAAATAGTTTAAATACTGACATCTTTCATAGATAGATCACTTATGTGATTACATTTCATTATTCTTAATATAATAGTGTCAACTAATCATGATATTTTTCAAATTCTAGTTTGGATTTAGTAGATCTTCTCTACATGCTGTGTATACCAGGTGTTGTATAATGTTGATATTGTCTCAGATATATGTTGGGTTCATGGTATAAATCCATGAATCTGACTGGGGATGAGAAATTTTCCTTCAATATATTTAAGTGTAAGAAGGTTAATATGGAATATGGCAAATGGACTGGAACATTAGATTAAGACTGGAACATTAGATTAATACTTGTTCCAAAACTGAGACATACTCATCTAAAGCAAATCCACCTATTGTTAAATGTAGAGAAATATTTACAATGTAATAGCAATATTTACAATCTCTATTCCTGCATTAGTATCTACATGCAACCTTTCCCCTCTACTGATTTTAAAATTGTTACACTATTTAGGTGCATTGCTTTTGTATGACCATGGAAAAATGTCCTTTACAGAGTAATGACGTGACAGCAATGAAGGCCAGCCATTCTGTAGCATTAAAATAAAGTAGTAAACAAGGCTAAGTGATCAGCTGATGAAAAGGATAATTCACATTAAAAAGTGGTACTGTTTGTGACTCTTCCTAGGATTTATCCATGATGATATAAAACTCCACTGGCTCTAGAAATACATCCTAATGTAAAATTTAATAACTGATATTTGCCCCTTTATTTCCGTAGCCAAGATAATTTTAAGTAAGTCATACTTCAATTACCCCAATTATGTTCATAGAGATATGGACATAGTAACTCCAAGCAGACAGCATGCCTCCGGGATCAAATAATCATTCAAGGTTATAGCACGATCCTCCGTTACATGCTCCTTTTTTTCTATTTTTACTTTTATTGAGGAAGATTGCAGAGATGATTGGAAGAATTTAAAAAAGTGGTGATTATTTTGGGGAGACCAAAATACTTTAATTCAGAAAAAAGATAATTTCAGGCTTTATCAATAGTATGAGGGAAATTATGAATGACTTAGAAATTATGTAATACAATTTGGAAAATACTTGTAATTTATACCAAATATCCTTTTGCATACATTGTGAATGAAATATTCAATTTTATAGACTATTTAATTTAAAAAAAGATATCTATATATTAATCTATTACATAGTTCCTAAATATACCTACTCATTGTGCTTTCTTAAACCAAACGTTGAGATAATATAACTTTGTCATGTTACCTATTTCACTTCCACAGTATCCATAACTGATACTTAGCATATCCTGTAGTTTCAGAAATCACTATGAGAATTTGAACACAGAGACCTAAAAAATAATCGAATAATTGTAAAAGTTTGAATTAACTGAAAGATGTAGAAACCCATTAAATATGAATGTTTCAAATTTTATCTACACATATACTTCTGTATTAAATTTGTTTAAAGATTAATTCTTAATTCTTAAAAATTTTTATTAGTCTACTGCACTTTCTTCACTTTTATATTTAATGATTTTTAGATAAAATTGGTTTACAATACTGTATATGATTCAGAATTGTAGGCTCACACCTCTGCAGATGCATATTACCATATTACATCCACCACTAAGTCACCCATAGTCCTCCACATTAGTCCACAGGATCTCTTCCTCCTTTGCTCTCTACCTTCCCCTCTGGTACCCTCAACAATTAATACTTTTGAAAACTACAACATAGATACTATAACGGATTTTAAATCTAAAAGGAAAAAAATGAAGGAAAAATCCCAATGTTGATATTAAATGAATATATCCTATGTCCTGAGGTTCAAAGCTTTTTTGAACCTCAGTCTCCTTCTGAACTGTAAACTCATTGAGGGAAAGAGTCTTGTACACAGTAAATACCTGATGTGTGTGTGTATATGTATGTGTGTATGTGTGTGTATATATGTGTGGGGTGTGTATGTGTGTGTGTGTATGGGAAATGAATGGATAAAAAGTAAATTAACATTCTGTGTTTGGCCATAGTCCTATATATAAGCCATAGTCCTATATATATCTATATTTTTTTTAAGATTTATTTATTTATTTATACAAGCACTGGGTACAGTCAGAAGCATGGGAGGGTGAGAGAATTTACCAGAGCCAGAGCGGGGAGCAGAGCAGGCAGAAGGACCGAAGTACACTGCTGAGGGGAGCAGCAGGCGGCAGGAGAGGTCTGCGCTCCATGTGGGACCTTCCTCCGGCGGCCAGGGGGCAGCCAGGGATCGAACCAGCGCTGCAGAGGCTGCGAGCAGCTTCGCAACCCAGCGCTCAACCGCTGCGCCACTGGGGAGGCCCAATCCTATATTTTTCATTAAGCAATCAATACTAAACAGTGAGGCTGGAAACTTACAAAATGCAATTTTATGCAGTGGAAAGCATAGCTTTACCAAAGCAGACACACAATAACAGTGATGATCTAAAATGAGGCATATCAGTTTGCTTGTATTATTTTCTTCATTTATGCTTGTAGCATCAAATTATTAATCTAAAGATGATTATATAGGGACAACTCTTTTATATGCATTTGTAATTAGTAAATTATATGAAAAACTTCCCATGGGTTTTAGCAAGATATTTATAACAATGATGAATAGCTCAAGAAAGCTTGGTAGAATACAGAGGTTGTCAATTATTGATTCTGATAAGCCAATTTTGGTCTATGACTTTAGAGTGAAAGGAAGACATTGCATAGGTTGGCAGAATTTTGGAAATAAAGAAAAAGAGATTAAATCAGACTTTTGAGAAGATATATTCTGAGGAGCTTTGAAGCTTTGATAAGTGATTTGTTGACTCATCCCTTTACCTTAAATGCCAACCTGCCGGTAGCTACCATAATATTTATTCTGCCCTTCCTCATACTAATGAAGTCACAATTTTGTTGGAGGTACCTATTTTTTCCTGGTAGAAAACATTTCCCAACCCCTTATGCAGTACAAGTGGCCATAATACATAACTAGAATCAGTGAGCTGAAGATTTAAGTTCTTGAATGGGACTTTAGTGCCTCCAAAAATACTACAAAATACTACAAAAGGGAAAAGATAACATACAAAATGGGAAAAAACATTTGCAAGCTATGTCTCTGAAAAAGGACTTGTATATAGAATATATAAAGAACTCTTCATAAAAAGTGAAATACTTCAAGTAAATAAACACTAATGTTAGCCCAAAATATTCCATATACTTCATAGCATTACGTGTAGATAAGATTATGATCATTTTGACATCAAATGTGATGTAAAATACATACAATTCAAAAGAATGATGAACTATGAAGTAACTTTCTTTGAACTAATATACAAATTTCAGCTGAAAAATGTCCACAAGAAAAAACAACCTAATGTAAAAATGGGCATAGGGTTTGAGTAAACATTTCTTCAGAGAAGGTATAAAAATTCCTAATGAGCCCATCTTAGTAATATTAGTAATTAAGAAATGAAAATTCATATCTAAACCACAATGAGATACTGCCACACACACTTGGATGACTATAATAAAAATATTCAGACAGTAAGTGTTGTCAGGGATATAGAGAAATTGGAACTTTCATGCATTGTTTGTGGAATTGTAAGATGGAGTCACTATGGAAAGCATTTTGGCAGATCTTCAAAAAGGTAAATACAGAGTTTCTGTATGATGCAATAATTCTCCTCTTAAGTATACACTCAAGATAATTGAAAATAGCCCCATACAAAGACTTGTATACAAATATTCACAGAAGTGTTTTTTAACCATCTTGCAGAAGCAGATGGACTCCCAACCAAAACTGGTTCATATTTGAGAGTGATGATGCCACCCACAAGCACATAAACTGAAGTGGTGTTTTTTTTTTTTTTTTTACTAACATTTGAAAGCTTTTTAAGGCTTTTTAAGGCTCCCAGAAGGTCTAAAATGGCTTAAAAGGCAGAAAAAGAAGTGTGGCTTGGGTTTTTTGTGTTAATTAGGAACTGGAAGGAGGATTTCCGTGCATGACTTGAACTTTCTGTTGGTGCCAAAAGAGGGAGTACCTGGGATTTCTTACCAGGTTTCTCAGATGGTGGGAAGAAGGGAAAGAGGGAGGAGTGTCTTAAAAACTGCCAGCAGCCAGACATCTAAAAGAAGAGTAATATCTTCACTAGAAAATATAGTTCATAATCACCAGAGTAGGAACATCTCAAATGTTTATCAACTAATGAATGATAAAATGGAATATTATTTGTCAATAGAAAGGGAACAAAGTATCAAAGCCAGTATGCTAAGTGAAAGAAGTCAGTATGTATATGATTTCATTTATGTGAAATGTTTGCTAATAGGTGG